TTAAATTTCTTCCTATAGATCAACTCATTGTCTGATTGTAAAAAAAAAAAACTACCTTTATCCCATCATTCTGCCAAATTCTCTTCTTATAACTCTTCTCTCTTTCACAGTCCAAATCCTAGAACAAGGTGGCTACATTCAATGCTTTCTCACTCACTTCTCACCCCTTTACAATTTGGTATCTGATCACTTATCACTCATCTGAAATTATTCTCTCCAAGTTTGCCAATGCATTCTTGGTTGTCAATGCAATAGCCTTTTCTTATTCCCCATCCTTCTTGATCCCCCTGCAATATCAGAGACTGTTTTCTGTCTTTTCCTCTTGTACACTAACTCTTTAGGTTTTCACAACACAACTTTCCCTTGGCTCTACTACCTCAGTATTCCTCAGTGTCTTTTGTAAAACACCATCCTTCTCCCTAACCGTAGCTGTAACCCAAACATCTTACCTGGGTCAACTTCTCTGCTGTTTATATACTTTCTCCTTCCTCCTCCTCTCCTCTCCTCTCCTCTCCCATCTCTGTCTCTGTCTCTCTGCCTCCCTGTCTCTGTCTCTGACTCTCTCTCTCTCTTACTCTCTGTCTCTCTCAGAGTCTTCATCAACTTCAATAAGTTCAATTATCATCTCTACATAAATGATGTATACATCCTAGATGTATATATGCAGCTCACTTGTCTTTCCTAAGCTCCTATCCTTCATTACCTAGAGTCTATTGTGAAAGAAAGTTACCCAACCACCTCATAGGCATCTCGAACTCAGTCTGTCCCAAACAGAACTTATTATTTTTCCCCGAAACAATATCCACTTCTCCTCCAAATTTCTTCTGAGGGCTACACAATTTTTCTAGTCATTTAGGTCTTCAACCTTGGAGTCATCCACACCTCTTTCTTCCCTTCCTTTAGCCTCTCCCTTCTCTGATCCAATCAGTCAATCAGCAATTATTAAGTATCTACTATTTGCCAGGCACTAAAGTGCTAGGGATGCAAAAAAAAAAAGTAAAAAAAAAAGTCCCTGCTGTCAAGGAGCACACAGTTTAATGGGAAAGACAACTTGCCAACAACTATTTATAAAAAAAGATATATGAAAAACAGATAGATAGTGGTTTGTCTCAAAGAGAAGGCACTAAGACTATGGAGAATTGAGAAAGGCTTCTTGCAAAATTTCTAAAGCACAAGTCTGACCATGTTCCCTGTACAAGGAGGGTATTTCTCTATTGCTTCCAAGATAAAATACAAATTCTTCTGGTGTTTAGTATTTCACAATCTGACTTCATTATCTTCTCAGATCACACATTTCTCTTCACAGTTCTACCACAGCCAAACTACTAATCTTACTCTTCCCCATATGTAATATTCTCCTACCTCCATGACCTTGCACAGGCTGTGCCCTGAGCATAGACTTAACTTCCTTCTCTTCTTTGCCTCATAGACTTCCTGACTTTCTTCAAAGAATAGCCCTAGTGTGATTTCCTTTCCTGGAGACCTTTCCTGGTAACCTTCTTTGTTAGTACTTCCCCCTCCCTCCCTCACCATCTCTTTATATTTATTTTCTCTATATTTAGCATACACTTATTTGTTTCCCTGTTGTTTCCTCCCAGTAATAACAGTAGCTAGCACTTACATAGCATTTTAAGATTTGCAAAGCACTTTACAAATATTAGTTCACATTGTCCTCACAACTACCTTGAGAGATCAGCTAATTTTTGTCTTTGGATTTCAGCACCTACCACAGTGTCTGCTAAGTAGTAGACACTAAAGAAATGCTTGTTGAATTGAACTCAAATGCTATGTGATCTCAGTTGGTGTGATGTGATTACCTCCAGCAATGCAGGTGGCCACCCATTCATTCCTGTCAGTCCAAAATGACCCTATCTATGACCTCCCATGTATTTGCTACAATAGGGTCTACCCAACACGTCCGAGACCTTCCTTAAGTTCCCTCGATATCCTAAGTGTGCCACTGAAGTAAGAGATATTGATATTTATTTAATTTGCCCCTTGCTACAACCCTGCTGGGTAAACATAAAAGAGGATAATGATACTAATAGTAATTATATCACCAGGTTGCAAATTTGACTGTATACACAGCGTGTCTCAAAAGTCTTAGTGCATGGGTCAAAATTACAGAGTTCTTTTTACACCCATATCTTGCATATATGTGCATCTAGCACACACACAGACATATGGAAAATTTAGGGTTGTAACACACACACACACACACACACACACACACACACACACATACACCACAAAATCAAGCCCTGATTTGTAACAGTTGATTTCTGAAGTGTAAATGCTCACACTGAAAATGTAAAAATAGGCTCTCACAAGACAGGTTACAAGTGGTTTCAGCAAAGCTCCAGTTCAAAGACTTGTCTTGGGTCAGACCGAGAGTAAATATTCAAGGCAAGATTTCAGTTCATGTCTCCCTGACTTCAGTCCAATGGTCTAGTTCAGGTGTGACCTCAAGGCCACAGGTTCCTTATCCCAGTTTAGATGATGTACCACTCAGCTGCCTGTTTTGCATACATCATGCTATTAATAGGAAGAATGGAGCATATATGCAAATAAAGTGTAACACAAAATAAAATATGAAAGTACAAAAGAAATTCAGCAATTCTCACTAATACCAATTCAATTCAACTCCCTAAATAGTTATTATGTACAGAGAACTATGCCTCACGTATGTTTAATAATTCTGTTTCTTCTGTGAGGAATGAGATTATTCACGTTTTTGTTGAATCATTGAAACATGGGTAGAAAATTTTCCATTATTATTCTTTCTTCCTATCATGTCATATCATATAGAAGAAACAATCAGTATATGAATTTAGTGTCATGAATGTTTAATAGCTACTGAATGATATAAGAAACATCAGTGTTGCCCCTACCTTCTAGCTATATAATTTATCTCCAGAGGCATCCCTGAATGAACACTCTTCTCTGCTCAGATGTGAATTGTCCTTTGTTTGTTTATCTTTACTTCCTTAGAAATATGAAATATACCTTAGTTTAAGGCCCTGATGGCATGGAGATATTCAAAGCTGTTTGTGGGGTCCTCAGTACTCAAGTACACTTTGAAAAATCTTGCCTCTCCATCTTCTTGTTAGACAATGTTACAGTTCCTTAGAGTCCATGCGCCAGGCACTCGTGCCTGAGCCAGTCCCCTGCTAACTGCTTCCTGATCTCCACCAGACACATAAGTCAGAAGCTTAAACATCTATTGTGCCATTGAGGGAGGCACAAGGCCTGACTCACCATGCCAAAAACGACATCATTAGAAGAGGACAATTTTAGATTCAGAAAAACACAAGCACTCAGAATGACTGCTATGGTTCTATTTAAGCCCTGCAACACTCAGCACTCGTAAAAGGACTCTCTGCATAAATTCAACAGGATTACCCACATACTGTAACTATAATACTACAAAATATGTAATGATTCCCCTGGGCCTCTGTGCTAAAGTCCAAACTCCCCAGTCTGGCATTCACAGCCCCACACAACCTACCTTTCTACCAACTAACTACTCACTTTCTCTAATCTCAGCTCTAGTCCAAATCATTGCCTTACTTTCCCTTAACAAGCCTTTCCTACCCTGTGATCTCACTTGATATTTTATTTCATTTTTAGACTAGATCGCTCTTTCTCATCTAAATTGATAGTACATCAGTCACTCATTCTCAGTAGTGGTTGGCACAGTAGCCTTGACCCATTTCCTTTTTTTTTTTTTTCTGATTTGGACTAGTTTTCTCCTTCTTAGGCAGCCTGGTAGTCATTTGCTCTCAGGGCCTCACCATATTGGTGCCAGAATCAGTGTGAACTACGTATGAGCTTTATTCCTACTATAGCTTAGAACTCCACACTTAAGACATCATCCAACCTCTGTCTCCTTATCAACAGGACCTATAGGCATGTGCCACCATGTTTGATATCCTTACTTGTATTTATACTATTCCACATACAAGGGGCAGCATGGCATAGTGGATAGAGAGCTAGTATTTGAATCAGGATAGATCTGAGTTAGAATCTTAACTTCTGGCACATTTTATATGTGGGACAATTGGCAAGCCATCTGGGAAATTAAAAGGTTGTACTTCATGCCCACTCCCTTCTCCTGTTACTTTATGAGTGTCCTTGCTTCTTAGCTGCCTTGATAAATTCTCCCCATCCTTCCAGGTCCATTTCCAGTACTACTTCCAACATGAAGCCTTAGCATACATTGGTCACCCACTTTTAAGTATTTCTATAGTGATTAATATGCATATGACACCTTGTAGTATTTAATTATATACTTTGTCTTATTACTTAGTTTTCTTCTATTTCTTCACCTCCTAGCTGTATTGTAAGATTCTAGAGTGCAGGAACTGTAAAATTTTAATCTTTTCAATCAGTACCCAGTACAGTGCTATGTATGTAATAGACACTCAAAAATCACCATTACTCAACATCTATACCAAGAGTCTTATGAAACCCATCCCCAGACTGAGAGAGATGGGTCAGATGCTCTCTCAGGTTGTTTAGGTATTAACAGTGCTGCAAGCATTGCGGAGGTGAACGGTTTTGGAGAGATATATGTAGATGACTCTCCAGAGGCAATTCTCCACAGAATGACAGTGTCTCAGATGATAGCTGCCAGTCAAGGCAGGTTAGGCAGTAGTAGGAAAGTGTATGGCATAATTGACATGATTAACATAATTAACATGATTTTTGTAGAGGGTTTGATTTCTCAATCTGGGCTGCCTCTTGAAATCTTCAGCCTTACCTTTTGCCAGCTTTCCTGGTACAGTACTGCCTGAACCTCCTTCAAATAGCAGGCACAAAAAAAAAATAATTGAAGAGTAAACTTTCCGCCTAGGCCAATTGGGTAAATTGCCTTTGTGTTTTTCCACCACTGCCTCATGCCAGATGGAATAGTTGGCCCTTGAGTAGATGGCCCTAGGCTGGCATTTGGAGTTGTGGGGATTTTGAAAATGATTTTCTTTTTTCCTCAGACGTCTACCTTGGCAGAGATAGGTTTTGTGAGAGGTTGATCCCAGGGTCATTTCCATAATATTTTGGCTTTTTCAAAGCTATCTTCAATGGTTTCTCTGACTGTGTGTGCTGTGCTTCCAAGAGATCATGTGAATAATTTCAGAATGAAGAACTGTGTACTGGTCTCCGACATATGTAAGTACTAGAATTTCAGGGTAGATTTCTGCGTCAGTGACAAGCCGAGAATGCCTTTTTTTCCCTTCTGTTCCCTGATCATGCTGTGGGGCTGTATCCTTAACCAAACAGCTGTTACTGGAAAGAACGACTAATGTTCCATCAGGAAAATTGCAACCTTAGCTTCGCCCTAATCTAATAAGCATAGTGTGTGTGTGTGTGTGTGTGTGTGTGTGTGTGTGTGTGTGTGTGTGTGAATGTAGGAAGAAATTCTAGGTAATTACTTTTTAACCTTCTCAGATATATTAAAGATTTGGTTATTAAAAACCATTTTCATGTGAATATTTGTAGAAAGAGTTACTCAGAGTAAGAAAGGCATAGTTATATTTAATGCTGTGATTGTTTCTTTTCTTCTTATAACAAGACTTCAATTCTGAAATTAGAGATGCTAAAATGAAGTTGTGGTCCACATGTAATGAGTACAGAATGGTATAATGCATAGAAAGCTGACCTGGAAACCAGGATGACCTGGGTTCAAATCCTGACTTTAACATGTATTAGTTTTGTGACCCAGGGCAAATCAGGGCCCAACACATACAGTGGGTTCTTAATAAATGTTTATTAATTACAACTGTGACTAAACCACTTAATTTCTGAGTCACATGGGCAAAAAGTTATAAATTGCAGAGGAGCAACTAAGCTATGCTGATGAAGGGAAAGTTTTCATCTGGGAATTTCTTATGCCAATGAAATCACAGGCCCAGGCCCTAACCCTATGTAATAGGAGAAACTAAGGGAATTTCCTAATCTGCTAGTATGGGGAACTTTTCATGGAACTCACTCTGCAGTGGGCCCTGTGTTTGAATCACTTGTGGTGTCATGGGAGTTCTAGCCCATTGTTAAAGGGCATACATAATGAGAGGTGCTTGTAATGAAAAATGAGAGGCTGCATCAGAGGATTGGTCATGGAGCCAAGGAACAGGCACCCAATGAGCTTTAAAAGGTGAGGACAAAGTCTCCATCTTTCTTTATCTTCTCTTTCAAGTCTGTCTTTTGGTTGGGACACAGATAATACCAGCTCTCTATTGGACTTATACCAAAGGAGAGAGTGGGGGTTTTCTCTCCTTCCCCACCCCCAACCACAGCTTCAGTATGGCAGCTGCACACAAGAAGACATAAACAAACAAATAAATAATGAATTGATGAATGAATAAGTAAATAAATGCATGAATATATGTAGATGTGTGTATGCATGTGTATGTAGATGTGTGTATATGCATATATACATATTTATTTATGTGTGTGATATACATATGTGTGTGAGCCTAGACAGAGATTAAATCTCAAATTTCTAGCTCCTTTTCCTGTTTTATATTTCTTTCCTTAAGCATAGAAGTTTGAGCATGAATCTTCATATGGATTTTTCTAGCCTTGGAGGAGATTGCATAAACTCAAGAGTTGGGTAGTTCTGGAGACTAGGAGTAGATTAGCCAGAGGAAGTACTTCCCAAAACTGTGACATCTCTTCAAGAGGCTGTGACTTTGCCTTGTTCAAACAGTCTAGGCTAAATGAAAATGAAACCTGTTCAGCAAAATGCCACAGGTGAACTGAGATTCTTTACCTAAGGAGAGGACATAATAGAGTGTCAGTTATATTTCTGAATTGTTTTATGGGATCCTACGAATCACTTGGTTGCCTCGTGTGTTTTCTCTTTATGTTAATGGACTCCTGTGAGCCCTTTCTGATAGATTACCATTTCAGGTTTAAAAATTTTTCAGTTCATGAGCCCATGTTTTAGGCACTTCCATTGTGACAGAAGAAATAAATAGCTCCCAAGTATCTGATATCTACTATTTTGTGCCTTAAATAACTTTGCTAGAAGACTCTTTTAATCTCTTTTAGGTAACCTCAAACCATTGTCATATTCTGGCTGCTATGCTACACAATGTCTACAGCATCTCCTCTTCATAGAATTGTTGCAAGGCTCAAATGAGATAGAACATATGTCTTGCAAATCTTAAAATGTTACCTCCGTGTCAGTCATTATTGGCTTTGGCTAACCATTATCTGTGCTCCTTTCAAAAAGGAATGGAATAGATAATGCAAAGTACAAAAATATTAGGTCTGATCAGGGATTAAATGAGATTTTCTTGTTAAACTTCCTTTTGGAATACTGTAGGAGGTATTTTTTTAAATGAACTTTCATTCCTTACTACCAAATGATAGCAACAAGGTGGATGAGGTAAAAGGGGTAACTTTGGATTTAAAAAATGCTACTGATAAGAATTGCAAATGTGGAAAAAAAAAGTTTTATAACTAGTGTTCACAGATTGTATGGGGGTGGGGATGGGGGCATGGCTCAGTCAAGGAGGAGATATAGCAGGCCATGTGCCTTACACACACACACACACACACACACACACACACACACACACACACACACACACACACAGAGTAGGCTTCAGTTAAATGTGGCTGACGATAAGGATATCTCTGGGACCTGATTGTTCTGACTCTTGAGAGGAAAAGAATAAATTTGGACACAGAATAAACACAGTCAACGTTTACTGCCTCCAACCCACCCTCCCAGTAACTCCCATCCTCCCACCGTGAAAAGTAAAGTAAGAAATATAGCACATACTTTGAGTTCAAGAGATTTGTAAAGCCAATGAGATAATGAGTATGACAGGTAATTGCATCTAATTAATTTGTTTCCAAATATGGCTCTAACAGTGACAATTTAAAACTGAGTAATTAAGGGTTTTTGAGAAAACCTGAAAAAAATGTTTCTGCCTTCATACTACTGAATTTGACTTGGCATGATTTCAGCTTCAGAAAATAAGATACTCCAGCTGCTATCCTGATTTCATTGGTAGTCCTGTATGCTAGCTAGACTGCCTTTTCTTTGTTGTGTGGCTTTGGACAGTTATTTAATATCTCCATGATTGTTGCTGACTTTTATAACATCAGAACTGTCGAGGACTTTTGAGGTCATCTCTCTCCTTTATCATTTTTAAATGATGATAGCAACTTCTTAACAATATTCATTGAGCAATACTACATGACTGAGTCTTGGAATAAAACACTCAGAAAAACTGAAATCATAGATTACCAAAAGATCAATTGGGAGGTGCATGGTGGAAATGAGTAGGCTGCAGCATTACTTACTGAGAACAGCTCAAGAGAAACTGCATAAAGCATGCTATCAAAGCATAATGAAAAAAGCAAGTGGGCTAATCAAGTGGGAAAAGTCAGGGATAAGTGATGGACAGGCCCTGGGCTCCATTGATATCACTGATACAGTAGCTCACTTGTTGCTATGCTACATCATAGCTATTGTAATGTCACAGTGGGTATGATTTGCTCTTTGATCCCCAGCATGGGTTATTACGCATAGTAAATGCTCAATTAATGCTTAACTAACTAGAAATTAACTGTTCTCTTATTCCTAGGTCAACATGCTCAATATTAAACAGATTAATACATCTCAAAAGGCTTTAGGAGCTTATCCTACTTCAGGCTGAGCTCAGACCCACATCAGAGGCTTAAAAAAAAATGATATCTCCTTCAGATTCTCAATAAAGTAGTGGCTACAAGTTTCTTTTAACATAGAATATATTTATAAAACCCTCACTAATATCACTTTATTTTACTCTTTCCTTTTTAAACATGAGCTCACTGTGTCAGGTAGCAAAATGAATACCAAATTCCATTCATACATTCATAGTAACTGACATTTATATAGCGCTTTAAGGTTTGCAAAGTACTTTTATTTAATTAAATTAATTACTTTAAATTAATTAAGGTACATTTATTATTTAATTTGAATACTCAGTTGTGAGATCAAGTATTTATCCCCATTTGGCATGTGAGAAAACTGAAGGTGAGAGATTTAATTAACCATGACCACACTAATAAGAAATGTCAGGGGTAGGATTTGAACCTATATTTTTCCTGTCCAACATCCTATTCATTATGTCACTGGTCTGTCTCACCCATTGAAAACTTTATATTGCTTTCATCAAAATGAGAAACCATTATCCCTTCTATATCTTAAAGGATTATAGATTTAGATCTAGAAGAGACCATAGAGATCATTTAGGCCTGAAACATCATGTATTCACGTGTATATTTGTGTGTTTATCTGTCTATCTAACTACATACTTTTATGTCTTAAAACTGCAAGAATTTTAGAACACTATATGTGTATGCATACACATACATACATACATACACATATATACATACATACACACTATATTTATATACCATATATACATGTATACTCTTTTATATATACATATATGTGCATGTATATGAATAAACTGTTGTTGTTCAGTCGTTTTCAGTTGTATCTGACTCTTTGTGACCCCATATGTGACCCCAGGCAAAGATCCTGGAGTGGTTTGCCATTTCCTTCTCCAGCTCATTTTACAGAGGAGAAAACTGAAGCAACTAGGGTTAAGTGACTTGCCCAGGGTCACATAGCTAGTAAGTGTCTGAGGCAAGGTTTGAACTCAGGAAGATGAATCTTCCTTACTCCAGTTCCAGCACACTATTCACTGCACTACCTAGCTGCCCTGTACGCATATACAAACATGATATCTCAATATGATTGATTTCCTTTGTAATCCCAGGTATTTTGTTTTATGTATTTAAAAATATCCATCCCTCTTCAAAACTTAACTGTTAGGCACCACTATCCTTTCAGTAAAATTTGTAACCTAAGAGGCATCTTCTACTCTGCTCTCATTCAGCCCCTGATTACATACCAATTCTTGGTGATTCTATCTTGCTGATATCTCCTTTTTTTTTTTTCACCATCTCTCTCTACCCCCATTAATACCACCCTAGTTCAGGCCTGAATCATCTCTTGCCTAGATTATTAGTCTCCAAGTTTTTTTGACTGTACAACCCAATCAGTAAAACATTTTGAGTGCCCCCAATTTTATTTTTATTTCTTTATAAGATGTAAGTATACTACTATATTAATAATAAGGTCTAAACACAAATAGAAAATC